ATCACCTTTGGCATTTAAAAGCAACCCAAGATCTACTGTGTGCTGCTGCCCATGTCCAGCTGGTAAGTCTTTGGAGAGGGAGGGAAGGAGGGGGCAGATTGACACAGAAGGAATAAAAGTTATTTGGGGATGCGCCTCCCCAGCAGGTAAGTCCCACCCGGCCTGGGCCCCACTCAACTGACCCCTGCTCCTCTCTCTGCAGCACTGTCCCTCACCGCAGGGGCCTCAATCTAGCCCCTGCCCCTTCCCTGCCCCATGGACTGACCTGCTGGGCTGGGACATGCGTGTGCATACATGCATGCCCCGCCACCCCCGCCTTCGATCGACTCCAAGAGGCTCTGAGATCTATCAGTGGATCAAGATCCACTAGTCGGTGACCACTGCTGTAACAGACCAGAAGTTCAGCGCACATAAACTGGTTTCAAAATGGCCAAAACCGGTTTAAGATCAACCTGGTTAAATGCGGTATCAGACTTAACTGATTTAGGTCAAACTGGTTTGTGGCACTTCTGCCCCAGACCTCGAAGGCCGCTATTTAAGAAGCCTTGGCTAGTGGGATATGGGTGTTACCGAGCGCCATCCTCACATCCGCTGTGCCCACTTCCTCACAGTGTGTCCCTATGCTACACGTTATGGGCCGGGGACACCGTCAGGGAGTTCCCTTACATCAGGGAACGTCCTGGCAGCCACACAGGGCCAGACTTGAGGCTCCTTGCAACCGCTGGCCCAGACGAAGGAGCTGCGACTCAGCTGAGGAGGAGACTCCACAGACAAAAACAAAAAAATCCCACAAAGGATGAGTCAGCACCAGAGCGCAGGCTCTAGCAGGCTGCAGTTCGGGGTCTGAACAGGAGCCCCCAGCATTTACCCTACTTCGGCAGATCAAGAGGGAGGGTATTTTTTAATCGTATTATAAATTCTACAATCAAAATAATTACCCCAGGGACCTGTGTTAAAGAAGCCTAATTACCACTCGCTTTTTTATCCCTTTACTAGGGGGCTGCTGTTTCCTGCTTTATCACCTCTTCTTAGAAATTTTCCAGCCACAGGTGAGACTTTAACCCACCCATGAAAGACCTCAAGCTGACTGTGGCCTGCCTTCCTAGGGCAAGCAGATGCATCTCCTTAAGGTGAACTACTTGTGGGATGGAAGCGGACAGGATATAGCCTTCCAATTTTTAGCAGCACTGCAAAAACAAGGGAAGATGCAGCTATTACCACTGAGTGCCTGTTTCCAGTGTCTAGGGGAGCTTTTCCATTGACTTCAATGGGCTTTGGATCAGGACCTAAAAGCGCAGAATACAAAATGCCATTCTTCTTCTTGAGAGCTCCCCAGGTCTCTGCACTCCCTGCGCTAAACCCTGCAGTCCCCAATGAAGCCCAACGTTCGCTGTGCTACGTGGCCACGTGAGGCCTGCCAGATCTGTTCCCTCGATTCGAACTCATGCCCCTGGTTTTGCTGCCCTGTTGCACGCCCTCTTCCTGAGACTTGAGTTTCTGCATCTGTTTGGCACAGGGAAGAGAAGAAAGTTGGTTCCCTGGGGTAAGCCTGGGCTATCTCTTGAGTTTCTGTGAGTAACGGTGGCCTCTTCTGCAGTGTGGTCTCTTTCCTCGTCCTCGAGTCCACTATTGCTCCACATAGTAGGGACTTTGAAGAGAGGTTTCTGCAGGGTGGACACCTGGCTGGCTCCCCTCCTTGGCACCACCCAGGCGGAGACACAACAGGGAGCAAGCCTGGGACCCAAGCTCACTTCTCCCACTCTCCTCCGTCCGCGCTACCATGCTGCTAACAGGGGACTCGCTCAGTAACCACTTTTTGAGAACCAGGCCAGAGTCAAGGCAGCAAATGAAGGCACTCTGCCTCCAGGCACTTGATGGCAATCTCTTTCCTGGACGGGCCCAGGATTTACGGGGGACTTTCCCCCCTGCCATTTCCAGGGTGGTCAGCATTACACCTTTCCCATCTCGATGGTCCCCTTCCTATTCCTCTCGGGCCAGGCTGCATTCTGGTACGACACCCATCTTAAGTTCATGCTTTTAAAACCTGGTGTTTTTACTCCAAGTCGTGGGGCTCGATTTCTAAGTTCTTTAATTCCCCTAGGCTGCTTTGGAGGAAATCCAGGAGGCCTGTCTTTGCTGAGCATCAGTAGCTCCAGCACGGACCATGGCACAACATGCAGCATAGCGAATCTTGGAAAGTATCTCGCCTCCTATTTACCCTGCGTCCAAAAGCTCCAGCTTGGCAAGCGGTGCTGCCACTATAAATATCCTACTTCCTCTCCATGGAAGATGTCCTTGGAAGCCACTGGCTGGAGCGTGTTGTCAGCAGGTGCACGCTTTAAATGAACTCTAGGGCCTGCGCAGCATGGTCACGGAGGGTCAGGAAAACACCAGCCAACTTTTTTTTGGGGGGGGGGGGG